TCAAGTTTCATTCAGTTTGTTTTCAGCTCAAATCCCTTCCAGCTAAGGGTGGCCATTGTCTGCTTACAAAAGGCAGATCGAGTGAGAACAAACCCAGCTTGATTAAGTGGTGGTGAGGACCCCAAGAGACAGTCTTTATCTAATCTCTCAGGGGCCACATTTTCTGCATTATACATTTGTAAATTTTATTTATATTTATTTGCTTCAAATATCAGTATAATTTTCATTCTCTATTTCTTAGCTTATTTAGAGAAATTCATTATTGCAATAAACCATTCTATTTTTTTCTTTGCTTTTTTTTCTTCTTTTCTCTTTATCATCTGCTGGATTAAAGGTCTTCTCCTCTACCTGCCATTCTAAGAAGAGTTTACTAAGTTACTCTGAGCACATGGCTCTCAATTTATTTTTCTCAGTGGGTCAGCCTTCAAAAGAACAGAAGGTGCTCAGCCTGCTGAAGGCAATGTGGTGCTTGGGCTCCGATTCCTGACGCATTAATTCTGCTGTTCAGGGCGGAAACATGGAAAGTGTGGTGAGGGGTGGACGGCGAGGGAAGGACCAAAACCATTTCATTGAACATAAAGGTGTTTAATTGCACTGGACAGCTTGGCTTCCCATTAAGCAAAGGGTCCTTGTTGCATTTGAAGGGTTCCAGGTTCCAGGGTGCAGCACTGCTCTCGGACAGTGGACCATCAGTGGAAAGCCACTCAGATGCCTTTCCAAGCCCTTCCGAGGTTTTGTCCGTGCACTGTTCCCTGACTCACTGAGACAACCTGTGGGATGTGGTATGATTGCTCTTTTTGCTTTTATGCTGGTTTGTAGTAGAGTGTAATTAAATTAGGACAGGGATAACTTTAGATTCCCTTTGCAAAACTTTCAGTCACGTTAAATTCAAGTCGATGCCCCTGCTAGAGTTATTCCCCAGTGCAGCCTTTGATGAGATGAGGTGGTACGGTCCAGTTGGAGCCCTGTGTTCCCAGCTTAGGGAACTTATAGTCCCTCGTTTGCTCAGTGCCTTTGTCTAGTATCACGTGGACATGAAATGCTCCATCATCCTATTGGGAAGTAATTCAACATGACGGTGATTTCCATATGCACACAGAATACTGAGACTCTAGTAGATAATGTACGTTCTGCACTGGGGTTGTGCTGCATTTCACCTCTCGCAGCTTACTGAACGCTGTACTGCCCTCTTTCTCCTCCGTAACTTACCTAAAGTTGCTGCAGACTTTGGCTCTGTACCTGATCGCATTCCTGTTTAATTACTTTGTCATACTTTATCTTTTTGTTTTTCTTTCTTATTTTGGGTACTGGGAATCTAACTCAGGATCTTGTGCTTGCCAGGCAGGCACTGTGCCACTGAACCATATCCCTGACCCTGATTTTTTTATTTTTATTTATTTATTTATTTTTTTGAGATAGGGTCTTGCTATGTAGCCCAGGCTGACCTGGAACTCTCAGTGATCCTCCTGCCTCAGCCTCCTGACTGCTGGGATTACAGGCATAGGGCTACCATGCCTTTGCTTTATCATTTTGAAAGAAAAAAATCTTCCTGATCCCTTAAGTCATTTTTTTTCAAATAGTTGTTTGTTTTAACCACTAAGGATGGACGGGTTCCTCCCTGCTGGATTAAGTGTAGTCTATGAATGTAATTTGGAATCATAAAAATTTGTCTAGTTTTTTTTTTTCTCTGTTGAAAAGTGAAATTAGCCTTCACTGCATTTTTTATGTTTAAAATTTATTGTTGTATCACTTGCTGATGCTGGGCAGGAATAATGAAAACATATCTCAAACGTTGCAAGAGATTTAGTAACATTTTAAATTATCAAACAAAATTGTGGTTCTTTGTAATTTTTTTGCATGTGGAATTAATGTAAGATAGCAGTAATTCTTACAGCCCAACATATCCGCTTGCTGGAACTCAGTTCAGTTTAGCTAACAATTACTGAGAACGCTATAAACTGTAAAGCCATTGATGAATAACTGACACTGGTAATGCATATGAGGTAAAAAACATTTAAAAAGAAAAAAGTCACAGTGTAGTTAAGCACATTTTTACTCATTCACGGTAATTAGTAGACAGTTATTAACACTCTACAATTCTTGTTTCTTAACCAGAGTGTTTGTTGAATTCAAAAAATGTTAAGAATTGAAGTCAAATGTCATTTGCTATTCACATTGTAGGCCAAATACATGTAATTTCCATCCATGGGACTGTTAAATAGGGATTAATCAGTGCTACTGAAGAGTAAAAATGACACAACATATTAGAAGGTTGAACAAGTAACTAACGGAAAGAAATTTAAACTTATAAAGGTAAATTTGACCTGAGAATATTAAAATATAACAGCAAGAATAACATCATTCATGCTGTTCTGCCTCCCCTGGGCCAGGCTCCTCTGGACACTGCAGAGACATCACCAGTGAGGCACCTTTGTGTGTGAGGGACTTATGTCTATTAGAGGGAGTGGGAGACACTGAATAGTGAACATAATACTCTATAAGTAACTTCTGGGAGTGTGGAAAGAAACAGAACAGGACTGGAGACAGCAGGAGCTGGGGAGGCTCCAGTTTTAAACAGGAGGGCGAGGGCAGGCCTATGGATGAGGTGTCTTCTGAGCTGAGATTTGCTGGAGATGAGGTTGAATCCTGGTGGCAGCCTGTTATAGGTGCAGAGTGCATCTGGAGTGATGGAGGAGACTGAGGCCAGGGTATGGCAGGGAAGAGAAAGCGGGAAAGTGTGAGGGCTCAGATGGTGTTGGGTTGAGAAGTGGGGGGCCCTTGGAAGTTGGAGCAGAGGGCTTTTCTTGGTCAGCGCTAACAATTTATCAGTGTCCTTCTGCCTGTGGTGGAGAGAACGGGGTTTGGGGTAAGGCTGGAAGATCTGTTTGGAATTGATCACAGTAACTGGTGGAGGTGGTGGTGACTAGTCAGTGATGGTATGAACAGAAATGGCCAGCCAGATCCTGAGTATACTTTGAAGGAGGATCTGTTAAGGCATTCGCATTGGCTATGACACAGAGGAGAGGCAGGAGCCCCGTGGTGATCCAGGATGAAAGCTGCAAGCTGAGCCCCAGCAGGTGGAGAGTGATGCACCACCTTGGCTGCTGCTGCTTGGTCCAGGAGGTTGAAGGCCAAACAGCAGCTGCTGATCTTAATAAAAGGGGCCCCTGAAGCCCCAGATTCACGGTGACCTGGAGAACAGGGCAGCTATGGGGAGTAGCAAGAGTTGCATTGATGTGGGATCAGTTCACAGTGAACGAGGAAAGGGCCCAGAGATGCTCAACCTAAATTCTTTTTGAGGCCTTTTGACACGGAGAGGAGAAGACAGGTGAAGCAGTGACCAGTGGGGAAACTGAGGTCAGAGAGGTTTGTTTGGGTTTGTATTTATTTATTGAGTTTTGGTCCTGAGGATCAAGTCCAGGGCCTCACATTTTCCAGGCAAGGGCTATACACTGAGCTAAATCCCCAGCTGTAGTTTTGTTTTTCGGTGGGAGAACTGACAGCATTGACAGGAATGGTCTAAAGAGGAGTACAAGGAGCAAAACGCCCTTGAGTACAAGCCAAGGGATTGGATCTAGCACGTGTGGAGGGACTGGCTTTAGCTCAAGGTTAGTTTATCTGTGCCATTGGTGGCGAACCTGAGGCACGCATGCCGCAGTGGGCTGTTTGTGTTGTTGAGAGCTCTAAGTGCTCACCGTCACGGGTCTGTGCTGTCAGGTTGGAGACAGAGCACTTCAGCAGATTGCCAGTGACTGCATGGGACCAGGGAAAGTATCCTGGGAAACAGAGTCTCGGCTCTGGGCTATCAGCACTTGTAAGGGGCTTTGGGAGGACACTGGAACAGCCAGGTTTATGGGGCACCACGAGGAGCCAAGGTCTGGAGAGAGTACTGGGCGTGAAGGACATGTTGGTCTCACACACCTGATTTCATCTTGGAGGAAGGCCTTTGGGAGTGCAGGAGTGCAGGAGAGGAGAAAATCTGGGGACAGGCAGACTCCGTGAGAATGAACGTGAGAGAACAAGAGGGGCCTTGAGAGTCTGGCATGTGACTGTGTGTGTTTGCACTTGCGTGCTTGTGTGTGACATCAGCAGGATAAAGAGCAGTATAGATGAAACCTGGTGAACTCAGCCGATGGTGGATACAAGGCTGTGAGCCTTGGGTGTGGGGAGAAGCGGGTGCCCAGCCTCACACTCACCCCAGCCAGCGTGGTGAGGAGCGTGGTTCAGTGTGCAGGCTCACCTCGTCCTCGGAGTTGAGGGTGCCCGCCCAACTGAGGGACTCAGGATTCAATGTGGGCCCAGGCCTGGCTGGAGAAGTGGAGGTAGACATGGCATGTCCTGTGCCCAGGTTCCTGCCTGGTTAATAGAGTGCCTCACACACTCACCACGTGCCGGCCTGCGGGCCAAGCCCTTGAGGGAATCTCCTAATCCTCAAGCCCGTCTCTGCTTACCTCTCCCTTACCATCTGAAGACCTCACTCACAATCACACAGCGGCTCAGTTACAGACACAGAACTTGAACCCAGGTCTCTGACTAATCGCAGCTCATTCATAGTTCATCCAGTGGCAGTGTATTTTATATGATAAAATGTGAAGGCTCGGCTGCAGTGACTCAGTGACCCTTGCAACATCTGGAGATGTCTTGAGGTTATCTTTATTCTGTGGCTTGGCTGGGACTGCAGCTCCTTTTGGGTTGGGGCTCTTCTCCCTCAGCACAGGTCCTGGTACAGTACCGTCAAGGCCAGGTAGGGACTTAATTGCTTCTTTAGTGAAATGTATTAAAAATTGTTGCCTCTTATCAGCCAAATTGAGGCTCTTAAAAAAAAAGCATCTCATATCATCATGTTATTTCTGGAACACTGTTTGTGCAAACACCTAGAATTTAGTCTGAGTCCTGGAAACTCTGTAAGTTTGTGATACGTAACCCCAGGCAACAGACCTTCGAAGTTTTGATGTGCTCAAAAGGGTTCTCATTTTCAACTGTTGTTTTTTCTTTGGTAGCTGAACAGGAAGACACACAGAAGAAAACCTTCACCTGCTGGATAAATTCACAGTTGGCAAAGGTGAGGAAAAAAGAGCAAAGTAAGTTACTAGGAAGATACTTATTATTCTCCCCACACCCCTGATTTGGGCCCCAAGCAAGCTACTGTGAAATGGAATTGATGGGGTTGATTTGTCTATATCATTGGTTAAGTTTGGACACTCTACTAAACTCTAGGTGTGATGGTTCTGAGTACTTCAGTGATTGTGAGACACTACAGTGTCTTCACATCATCCCTGTGAGGAGTATTATTCCTGCCTGAAGATCAAGGAAAGGAAGGCACGAGGCTGTGACTTGCCTGTGGTCATGCTGCTTGTGAGAGATTGTGCTGGGCTGCAAACCCAGGCAGTGTGCCCCAGCAGCCCTGGTGGTCATCACCTCACCACCCGGCCCTCGGTGTGAGCCCTCACGTAACCTAGATGCGGTGACTGACTCTTGCACGGATGGCTCCCACCAATCCCATTCTGCTTACCCAGCCACGGCTGGAGTTGCTAACAGAGGCGAATGCGGAACAGCCTACTTCAGTCATGTACCTGCTTTCCAAGTGGTCACTGTTGGGTAATTCTGGATGTCTTTAATGACTCTTGACAGAGCCAGGGTTTAAGCTGTCAGTGAAAACTCCATGCAGGGTGTTACATTCCTGGGAATTTCCCTTGAGATGAACTAAGTTCACTACTGTTCTTATGGTTGATACGAAACTTCTCATGCTCTCTAGCATTCTATTAGTTTAAAATGTAGACAGCTGAATCTTATATTTTTAAAAAACACCATGCACACTTATGAGAGTCTTGAAGGTACTGTGTTTGGGGCCCAACTTTGATTATTTTTCTTGTGACTTTTGTAGCACACGCCTCCCTCGGTCATATCAGACTTATTCACAGACATTAGAAAGGGCCATGTTCTCCTCGACCTGTTAGAAGTACTCTCAGGACAGCAGTTGGTAAGATTTGAAAATGATACCAAGAAACTTTTTGTTGATTTAAAAAAAAAGTGTTTCATATTTCTCATGTCCTTTTTTTTCCTTTTGGTATATTTCTGAGTAATATATTTGCTTGAATTTTTTAGCCTCGAGATAAAGGATCTAATACATTCCAATGTAGAATCAATATAGAACATGCCCTGACATTCCTAAAAAATCAATCAGTGAGTATAAATTTCACCCAGAAATTTGTGGGAATGATTAGTGGTTATGAACACTTTTTCTTTTTGACCTGCATTTCTTCATTTCCAGATCAAGCTAATAAATATTCATGTTACTGATATTGTGGAAGGAAACCCATCCATTATTCTTGGCCTGATTTGGACCATTATACTGCACTTTCATGTAAGTCATCTGATGATACAAAAATTACTTCTATTCCCGTTTGCACAGAATGAAATAAGTGTGGTGTGAAAAGTGTGACTTGAAGCTAGGTTTGTTAATGAGCGTCTTCCATAAATAAGAGCACTCAGGAAATTCTGACCAGGTAGAAAACACAGAGCAGGCCTTGTGCCATTTTTCTTGTTTTTCAATTAGAAGTTGAATGCCAAATTATTACAGTGTCTGAGGTACCCTGTAACCCGGAAGTAAACCTGGCCTGGAGTGTTTGCTTTTTATTGTCCTTTGCTGTGTCACAGGGAAAAGAAACTGCTGGGGTAAAAGCTTGAGATCTAACCCACTAAGCTTTCTAAAATCTCCCTGCTTTTGAAGGCCGCTGTCGAACTGAACTCTGAGTAAGCCTTCAAAATCAGGTTCTGTCTCAAGACTGACTCGAAGATTTGTTTCATCCCAGAGAGATTTCTGAGCCCTTTGCACATTCTCCGTATCGTTCATGAGATGGGGTGACAGTTGTGACCCTGAATTTATGAAACTGAGACTGATAAATATTTGTTTCCAGGCCTGGGATTCTGACTTAGGGCAGATTTTTCTGTACTACCTAAAAATAACATTCTTCTGTATGCCCATTAGTTACTTTTAGAATAACTGTAAAAATTATATGGAGAAATAAGTGCTTATTTTAAAAAAAACTAGAATATAGGATAACTCATTTATATAAAATTTAAAACATGTAAATCTAGATTACATATTATTCCTACATACATGTATTTATAGTTATACTGTACTAACATGCATGAGGATAATGGAACTAAATTTAGGGCTGTGGGTTTTCTTCTGGGAAAGGAGGGAAGTGGAATTAGAGAAATGACCAAATATGGTAAAATATTAAAATTTTATAATTCATAGGCATCTATTATGTTTTCCCCATACTTTTCTGGATCTTTTAAATTAAATTCCTTAATACAGATGACAAAAGGTAAAAATCATGCATAACCCATCACTCACAGGTAACTACTATAAACTTCATGATTTGTACATCAGGAATTAATAAACATAGTCGGATAGGTACACTTGGCCATCTAGATCCGTGAGTCGCACATCAGTGGATTCAACTAACAGGATTGAAAATGTTTGGAAAAGAGATGAATGTTTGTGCTGCATGTGTGCTGGCTTTTTTCTGGTCATTATTCTTGACTGTAATGACTGTTTACCTTGCACTTGTGTTGCATTAAGTTATCTAGAGATGAATTTAAGTATAGAGAGGATATGCAAGGGCTCTATGCAAATATTGTGCTGCTTTCTTTAAGAGACTTGAGCTTTTGCAGATTTTGGTTTCTGAAGGGATTCCTAGGACCAATTGTCCATAGATACCCAGGAGCGACTGGATATCCTGGGAGGTGAGACTTGAAGAGGTGATTAGATTTGCAGTGCTGCAACATAAAACAGGGTTATGTTTTCAGCCTGTTCTAATTATTATCATCCTGAATTTATATATTTTAATAGAGGCATGGTGTTTGTTACAAAGGACCACATGTGATTAACGATTAGAATGCTTGTAATTATTTGTGATTTTAAGTAATTCTAAAAAAAGAATGATTTAGATAAAACCTTTACTTACTATGTTGGTTATTTACATTTCTTATAGTAGAAGTGGAATTGTGCTATAGGGCTTCAACGTTTTAAGTAAACTTTTGTTGAAGTCTAACACATGCAGAGAAAAACCTTCGCATGATGTGTTTGATGAATTTTCATAAATTAACTGCACTCATGTCACTACCCAGAATAGGAGTGTAGAGCTTTGCTAGCGTCCCAGTCCCTGGCCTCCTTTCTTGAAGACCTTTGACCTTCGAAGGCTTCTTTTTTGACCTTTGACTTCTCTTTTTTTACCTTTGACTTCTGCCATTGTTTTATTTAGCATTTTAACTCCATAAACTGGATTACATTTGCTTCTCATACATACATCTCAGATATGCCCTTTGTGAGACCTGCTTCATTTAACATCACGACTGTGAATTTCGCCTTGTAGTCTGTATCAGTAGTTCTTTACATTGCTATGTGTAAATATTACCACAACAAAGTCACTTCTTTTGTTAATGCATATTTCTTTTGTTGTCAGCTTTTAGCTGTTATAAATAAACTTGTTAGGGCCATTCTTGTATAAACTTTTAGTGGTTTGACCTTGATTCCCAATATATTCTCTCTGTCTCTTTCTGTGTCTGTCTATTCTTAATAGTTTGCAGCCAGGGATGCATTGATGCTGCTGTCAGTGTAGCCGAGGGGTTCAGTTGGGTTTGTTTGGCAGGGCAGTGCAGTTGAAGGACCATGGGGACCAGTGGACCTGGGATGTCATCCCTGGGGGAGATGAGAAGTGGCCCATACCCAGGGAAGTCACAGGACAGCTCAGTAACAAACACTGGTGATCACAGATTTGCCTAAAGTTCATTTCGGAAATAAGCGGTCATTGTTATAGAATGTTTTTTGGTTTTGTTTTGGCTGCGTATTGTGGCTTGGTGGCAGTAACATGTGTGTGTTAACAATTATATTCTCTGTAGATCGAGGAGCTCACCCAGACGCTTTCTGGCAGTTACAGTCAACCTCCTGTGGATGACGTGAGTGTGCCAGATTCACCTGCTGCTTCAAGTCCACCGGCTAAGAAATGCTCCACAGCCCAAGCACGGTGGCAGCTGTCCGCAAAGAAAGCCCTTCTCGTGTGGGCCCAGGAGTGCTGTGCCTCGTAAGTAGCTGCTCTGACCGGAAGGGGCACATGAGGCAGTTGTGCCTACTGCGTACCAACTGCAAGTCAACTGATGTGGACCAGAAACTCTTTTCCTTGGGAAAATCCTCGCTGGCTCCCTTCATTTCCCACTGAGTCTTCCAAGTGCAGCATTGTGGGAGGTCAGCCATACTGGTTTCAAAGGCCAGAGGTGGTGTTTGTGGGTTAACGTCCCTTAGTTGCTGTGTTTAAGTGGCCCATTGTTGTGGGGAAAGAGCACAGTCCTTAGGGTCAGGGATATAGCTCAGTGGCACAAGCACCTGCCTAGCAGGTGCAAGGTCCTGAGTTCAAGTCCCATTACTCCTCCTGCCAAAAAAACAAAGCAAAACAAAACAAAACTCAGTACTTAAATATCCTTTCCTTTAGGGTAATTCCCCTGTATCTCTGGAGGGTAGATTCAGATCTAGAGTTTTACCATACTGTGACCTCTTTCAAAAAGTCCAGACTCTGTCTTAACTGATGGCTGTGCCCACGACCTAGCCTAGTGGAAGTTCGTGACAGGTGTTCCTTGAATGAAGGAATTAACAAATGAGTGAGTAACCAGTTCATGAAGTTATCTCTTGGTTCTGTCTATAATTATGTTAGAGATTACAGTGCTCATTACTTACTCAATTCAGCTAAGAAACAAGAGACCAGGGAGGTTGTATTTTGAGAAAGTGGGCTCAGTGAAGGGAAGGTTGTGTTTATTTTTTCAGTTTTGTTTGTTTATTTGGAGACAGGCAGTCCAGGATGACCTTGAACTCACTGTGTGGCCCAGGTTGGCCTTGACCCCTTGGCAATGCTCCTGCCTCAGCCTCCCGAGTGCTGGGATTATAGTTGTATGCTACCACAGCTGGCTTTATTTATTAATTTTTTTAAACCAAGGCAATGTGTTCTGCTCTTGAGAGGTATTTTCTATTTTCAGCAATGGATGGGATGGAGTTTAGGAAGATAAAGAGGTTGAGATGCAGGAGAGCTCCCCTCTAGAAGAGCTGTACAGTGTAAAAGGCAGTCCTTAGCTCATTATGGCATTATCTGGGTAAACAGTCATACAGTTGTTGTTGAGACCTTGCAGATGAGGACTTCTTAGTAAGCCCTTCCTAGTGAGAGGCCAGAGGATGGAGGTTAATTCTGCCTACAGCCTCATCTTTTTTTAGTAGTCACCCATTATATTTTATTTTGTGATGTGCACAAACATACATACCTAATGTTATAAATATTCAATCAACTCTTTTTTAATATAATAGAGAAAATTTTACTTGGGTTAACCCAAAATTGCATTGTGAACATCATTATTTTACTATATTGAGATTTATTTCATTTGTGTATAAATACCTGTCAGATACCTCTGAAATCTCATATATTTTATTACTGTTTATCTTTTCTTCATATTCGACTATAGAGCGAATGCTGAACTTGTTAAGATGAAACACCTCAGTCTGGTGGTGTACTCTGTAATCCCAGCACTGTGTGAGACTGAGGCAGGAGAATCACAAATTGGAGCCTGGCCTGGGGAACCTAGTGACTCAGTGAGAGGTGTCTCCAGGACAAACGAGAGGAGGGTGTTGCTCAGTGAGAGGGTCTTGGATCCAATCTTCAGTAGTACACAAAGCAGAGATACAGCACCTCTGACGTGATGTATCCCGAGTTCATCCTAGTTTTGGCCGCTGTCTGTGGTGTATTCAGTAATTGTATTACAGTGTCCCGTGACCCTGGGACTCAGCTTTAAGATGGTGCTCTAAGGAGTTGTGGTTTTTAATTTGTGAAGCAGTTGAATTCATTCACATTCCTTACTTCTAAGGGGCCTGTGTCCTGCCAGTCTTCTGGAGCCTAACCTGGCCCTTTCTGACCTTTCTGAGCGCCGGCAGCCAAGGTGTCTTCATGGTGATGGCCTCCACTTGCCTCCCAGAAGTGACCTAGGACCTGGCACCCTGCTGGGTACTGCGCCTGCCAGTCAGTGCCGCGTGCAGCCGGAGGCTGGGCTTTAGCTATTGCTTCAAGTTTTCATCCAAGAGCGCACTCTGAAACCAGAGCGATGGGCTCACAGTCCTGACCCCAGTACTCTCTAAATGGTGACTCTGGACACTTCATTTTCCTCTCTTCCTTCCATTTGGTGACAGATTGAATCCAGGTCTCATGCATGCCAGGCAAGCGCTGCACCTCTGTCTTGGCCTCCCACTGTTTTTGAGGAGGTCTTTTCATTTGATTCATACCATGGTTCATTGAATTCCTTTGTTTTTAATAGATATTAAAGGAAATCATAGTTGTTCTGGAATATTTCCCAGACACTGTGGCCAGCTACACACTTATAAGATTTCCTCTGATCCCTTATTTAACATAGGAGTATTATTGATTGTGTGACTCAGAACTGTAGGGTCACAGGTGAAGCCCCTGGCAGGCAGCATTTGGCAGCGACCCTGCAGCAATGAACAAGGAGGGCAAGGCCTTGCTGCTCAGAGCCCTGCACCCTGGTGAGGGAGACAGGAAGCGTTGTGATGATTATAGTTGGCAACAAGATTAGGAAGGATTTATTGTTTTGCCGGGAGTGTTTAGGGCAGAGAGAGGGCCGCCCTTATGGGAGAAGGCCGGGGAGGCCTTGCTCAGGTCTTGCCAAGGTGCCTTTGAGCTCAGACCCAAAGGCAAGACTTCCAGTGGATCAAGGTCTGGAGAAAGATGTCCAAGAGAGTTAGTGGGAGTATGGCATGAGAAACCAGAAAGAGCCCAGCCTGGTGCTGCTACTGTAGGAGAAGGGAAGATACAGAGATGGGATGGGCAGTCAGGGCCCAGTCCCACAGTGCTTTATGGGCCAGAGTGAGTGATGTCATCAGACAGTACCCATTTACTATTAGGACCGTTTTTTTGAAGCATACAGTTCCTTGGCCCTTAGAATTTTACTGTGCATCCATCACCACTGTCCATTGCCAGAAGTTTCTTCATTTGTCCAGCTGACATTTGTCCAAGCTAACCGGTCAGAGGCTATCTCCCCATCCCTCCTCTCCGCAGCCCATCTGCTTCCTGTCTTTGTAAATGTGACCGCTGGAGCTGCTTCATGTGAGTGAATCAGACAGTATTTGTCCTTTGGTAACTGGCTTGTTTCAGTCAGCGTGATGTCTTCTAAGATTTGTCCGTGTCATATCATAGTTCAGCATTTTCTTCCCATGTGAGGTTAAATACTGTGCCACTGTTTGTGAAGACATTTGTCATCAGTTTATGCATAATGACAGATGTCATGCAGAGGAAAGGTCTGCTATCCAGTGAGCTACTAGCCACTGATGACCTGATGGATCATTTAATTTGTGCCAGGTAGAAACACACAAACAACAAAACAAAAAAACAACTCTTTTCTATAGTGAAGGATCTTAACTGCATGTAGAGGTCTAACATCAGTCTTGAGCCTAAGATTGCTAAATGCAGGCATCTACCTTAAGATTGGTTATCGCCCTGGGACTCTGGAATAGGGTGTTTCAGGCCCTGCCCTGCAGCAGGAGTCTGCAATCATGGGGAAGGACCTCAGTGTTTGTGTCCCTTACACCTGCTGCTGCTGGTCCATCTTCAGACTTGACCATCATCAAACTTGCCATTATACCTTAATTTGACAAGATTAAAATAAAAATCATTTGCTAAAACGATTGGGATTATTTATCTAGTCCACTAACTTAGGTGTTAATTATATTGACTAGAGTGGGAGAATGTTGATATGTTGCTTTTAACATATGTATCATGTCCTTTTGTGACAGGCATGAGTCCATCAGCGTGACAGATTTTAAGTCAAGCTGGAGAAATGGGCTGGCCTTTTTGGCTGTCATTCATGCCTTGCGACCAGACCTAATTGATATGAAGTGTGTGAAGCATAAATCCAACAAGGACAATCTGAAAGAGGCCTTCACAATTGCAGAACGAGAATTGAAAATCCCCAGATTGCTGGAACCCGAAGGTAAGGAGACTTCTTTGTTTTTAAAACAAGTTTTCTTTTAGGATTTACCATGAAGTCAATTTAAAAGTAGCATTTCTCTAAATGCAGATATAACAGCATCATATTTTAGTCCTGGAGGGTTTAACTTAAACTCTTTTTTGAATTTCATAAAGTTAAGAATTCCTACTAATCAGTTCACCTTGGTAATTGCAGGGTGAGGCCGTGGCTGATGGGAAACTGTGCCTTCATCCGGGATCCTCTGCACCTCTGTCTCTGTGTTCTTCTGTTGCCTTCTATGTAGTGCTGTTCTTGACTGTTATTTCTGTCCTAAATCTCCCCTGTGCAGTATTTCTTTTGAGCCTTGAATTTGGTTGTTTATGGATCTTTCTTCTCCCACTCCCTCCTCCTAGCCCGTGCGAGAGCTCTAGGGGAACTGCAGCTGGGGCTCTCGCTGGCTCCTTATGTGGTCGGCTGAGCCGTGCCATTGATTCTGCTCAGGCCATGGTGCTGGAGCATTAACAAAAACACGAAAACTCCAAATATGGAATTGCTTGTGTCCACAGAGATTATCATCCAATTATAACCTATTTTAACTGCATAAAATTAAAGATTAAAATACTTTCTTTCTGAAAGTATTTTATTGTTTGTGTATTTCATAGACAATATATCCAAAAAAGCTACTAAAAAGAATAAAAGTCCCAGTTGATGATGTGGCTCAGTGGGAGAGCATGTGCTTAGCATATGCAGGGCCTGAAATTTGATCCCCAACATAGACACAGGCGTGCGTGCACACACACACACACACACACACACACTCTCTCTCTCTCTCTCTCTCTCTCTCTCTCTCTCTGAAGTAATTAAAGAGGCAAGGGATATAGCTAACCGGGACAAGTACCTGCCTGGCAAACGCAAGGTCCTGAGTTCAATTCCCAGCATCAAAAGTAATTAAAAAGTGGCATATAGAATTAGTAACAATTATAATGGCCCAACAGATCAAGACTTACAAATTCTTGTCTCAGCTTTGTAACTAGGAATGTGTGTTATATATGTTCAACAACCAGCTCTCCAAAACAGTGTGAAATACATACTTGTCTGTTACAAATTTTAGTGATATAAAGAATGTATAGTCCACAGTTAGAAATAATAAAATGTATGACATGTTATATTGTAAATTCCAAACAGTTCCCCAATGCTTTGTGGATTTTTGCCAGCCTCTTGTAGCTGTGTGCAGGTAATGCAGAATCGCAGCTGCTGAATGAGTGTCGTTCTGACCTGCACGTCCTTCGATGATTTTCTTTATGGTAACGAGTGCGTGGAATAGCAAGACAGTATGTCCGAATTTCATGTGTCCTGCAATGACTCAAATGACTTCTTTGTTGAATCAAGCCCTAGAAGAGTGTTTCCTCATTTTTATGCTGTTCACAATTTATTATTTGTGTGTGCATGTGTGTGTGTATTTTTTTTTTTTTTTGACACAGGGGCTTACTATGTAGTGCAGCTGAGCCCAAGCTGACCTCAATTCATAGCAGTCCTCCTGCCTCAACCTCTGGAGTGCTGGGATTACAGATACACACTACCATATCCAGCTAGGATTTAGATTATTAACCATTTCCCCATTTATTTTTTATCACTCAGTAGAACAATAAAATCAGTGAAAGAACACACGCAGCCACGTTGGGTGATACTTGTAAGTTCACAAGCAGCCCGATTCCGCATCCCTGTGTACGGCTTGGGGTGGGTCTGGTCTTGTGCTGGTTGGTGTTTCTATTCCTGTTCACGGCTCCTGCCCATTTCTTGTTCTTCCCTGCCTTTGCCTCCTGTATTTTTCCGTTGTCTTTCCCTACCCCTTTTAGCTTTTCATTATGTTCTTTGCTTTAGTTTTCTTTATGCTTTATTCTAATTACCTATTCCTGATTATTGTTTTTGAAAAATATTTTTAATGTCGGGACTGGGGATTTAGCTCAGTGGCATAAGTGCCTGCCTAGCAAGCGCGAGGTTGTGAGTTCGAAACCAGTACCCCCCCAAAAAAAATTTTAATGTGATTCTCTAAATCTTTCCTGTTAGTATAAAATATTTGCCCCTCCTCCTCCCTTCTCCCTTTTCTTCTCTTCCTCCTTTCCCTTCTCTTCCTCCTTTTCTGCTGCCTCCTTCTCCTTGTCTTGCTAGGTCAGCAGTCCTCCTGCTTCAGCCTTGCCAGTAGCTATACTTTCTTTATTTCAGTGTATGCAAATGATAAGTCAGCTGATGGGGCAGAAAATTCCACAAAGGCACATTTCCACTGTATGAATGAATGCTGCTATTATTTAAGCAGTGACTTAAATAATAGCCTGGAAATGTGAAATACGCCGTTATTTAGGTAAACTAAGCCCCACAGTGGTATTTGAACTAAGGGGACTATTTTCTGATTCAGTTTTTGCTCTTTTTTTTTTTTTTTTTTAACTTTTTATCGGTACCAGGGATCGAACTCACGACCGCCTGCTTGCAAGGCAGGTGCTTATGCCGCTGAGCTAAATCCCCAGCCCTTGATTCAGTTTTTTAGATTTTTATTTTTGCTGGTGCATGTGTGCAGCCATGGTGATTGTATTCCTCGCGGGAAGTTGGCACACGTGCACACATAACACATCTGATTCTTTCTCATCTCCCAACCCCTCTGTCGGTCTTGTTAAACTGTTTCATCACCGCCCATTATGGTCTCGTATAAAATGAGATATTCTTAAAAAGAGGTATCTAGTCAAGCCAGTATCATTATTTTATGCATCTTTTGATATTACACTTTTTTCATTAAAGACAGAACAACTCATCTGTTAGGAATCTTTCCTGTATTTGAAACCCCACCCCGTCCTTTCATTTATAGCTTTTATGTGTGTACTGCCTTGAATTACATATTTATATGTGGGTTAATTTTACTTTCTGCCTCAGCTTGTAGAGCTTTCTGGGCCCAGTGAATTTGCTCACTAACACATTCATAGTCTGTCGTATTTGCTGATTAATTATTTTTCTCCCCCTCATAAACTCCTGGACAGGCAGTCATGTCTTAGAGCATCAAATATCTTCTTATTGAATGAGCAAAGGATGAAGTGTAAGGTCCCTAAGTCCAAGGACTTGACTTTGTGTGTCTCTGTAGCCCCTACCTGGCACCCAGTTTGTTAGCTCTATAAACATTTATTGCATTTAGTTTAACAGAATTAACAAATAGAAAAGTTTCCTTTTCGGTAACCTGAGCTGTTTGTTTTGGCATCATACAATGAGATGGCATCATACAAATTGTGTGTTTTGACTGTGACATGTGGTATCCCTTCTGTGATTTTGTGATCTTCTATGTTTCTATCTCTAGGGGTCCCAGACTTAACAGTCTTCATTTCTTTTTAGCTTTTTGTCATTCTGCACTTTTCAAATTTATTTCGCCGTTGCCTCCTTGACCGCAGCGCAGACCTTGTCTTTAGAAGGTGCTCAGCAAATGTGTTTGATAAATGAATGAACTGTTGAGTGTTTCCAATTTATGTGTACTGTTGGAAATGCTTTACAGCATGATGCCCAGACTGCTGTGTCAGAAATGAATTCCCGTGGCTGTGATTTCCTGCATTCCCAGAGGAATTTCTGTCCTGAGTCCCCAGAGAGGGCTGGTTTTCTCCTAACTCCCTGACTACTGTATCTTTCCCTGTACAGCACCCACAGGGACGCTTGGTTACTAAGACACTAAAGCTGTGCGTGTATCCATGCCAGGGCTCCACCTAGATCTTTGCAGCTCCGGATACAAGCTCCTAGCCACTGCCCAGGGTTGGAGCAGGGCTGAGTCCACAGAGATTGCATGGCTTGTAAAGTACTTTCAAGAGCTGGTCAGCCCAGTGGGGCAGGCAATGACATAGTTCTATCGAGTGCTAGTTATAGGAAATCACGTGTCCATCTCACTGATGGTGTGATGTCTCTTGCAGATGTAGACACTGTTAATCCTGATGAAAAGTCCATCATGATGTACGTGGCACAGTTTCTACAGTATTCCAAGAATGCACCTGTGATTAGAAGTAAAGCGCAGGTGTGTATCATTATAAATTAAGCGCATTTTTGCTGTCTACAACTATTGGTTTAACTTTTTAAAGTGAAGTATAAATTGCCCATAAAATTTAAATCTACATACTTCTTACTGTCTGGACAGTGCATATACATGTGAATACCATGTTCTGATCATATGAAACATTTCTATTACCCACAGCATTCCTCCATGTCTCTCTCCTGAACTTCCTCCTCATCCCAAATTAAGTTAATCTGGATCTTAAACAATTTTAGAGAGATCAAATTTTTTATGTATTGTAATTTTTATTTACTTTGTTGGGATAAAATTTGCATATGATAAAATTAAACTATTTAAAGTATATGGCTCAGTGAATTTTAGTGCATGTCTGTAATCGTGTGGCTGTTAACATCTAACTTTAGCACATTTCCATTTTGCTTGTTTTTAGCTTCCTATAAGTGGAACTGTGTAATTCATATAAATGGAAGCATTGTGTTCTATTACTGGTCTCCGTTTGTTGAGATACTCTTGAATTACTGTGAAATTCCCATTTGATTCTTCATTTTTTCCCTTTTCCTTTCAATCTGTTATATAAAATATGGGCAGAAATTTTATTAAAAAATCACCAAACTCCTGTGGAGAACCCTTATTCTACTTTTGTGCAGATAAATGAGTGCTGTGATTTACTAACATTCACAATTATTTTAAAATTTAAACTCCTTCCTCAAACATGTTTACCTACATTTCATTTGATAAATAGGGCCTGTTTTTCCAGCTGTGGTGGTGGAGGCAGGAAGCAGGCTCAAGTCAAGACCCCTTGGGGTTAAGTCGGCTCACTTATTTCTGACCTGATGGGGGGCTACACTTTTCTAATTAATTTACATTAAAAATAAAATTCAACAGTCCATGAAATTGGATATAAAAATACTAGAAATGCTGTTACTTGCTAGAGGCAAAAAAGACAAATGGTGGTTAAAGAAGAACAGAAATAATATATAATTTCTGCTTTATCCTTTAACAGTAAAGTCTGCTGTCAAACACAGGCATCCTATGAAAGAAGGATCTCAGCAGACATCACTGTTGCTGATGTCTGCATGATTACAGAAGCTTCAGGAGTGGATTTTTTCTTTCTTTGTCTTTTTGAGACAAAGTTTCACTGTGTGGTTCAGGCTGGTCTTGAACTACTCTGTAGTCCAGGCTGGCCTCTAACTTGCAGCGATCCTCCTGCCTAGCCTCCCAAGTACTGCGATTACAGGGGTGCACCACCACACCTGGCAGAAGTGTTTGTTATTTTAGGACCTTTAAAATGTTCGAGATTTATTTTTATGTCACTGTTCTTTAGAAAGTGAACACCTTTCATAAAGGTTTATTGGGAAGCACTCTTCAAGACTGCCTGTTATAAAGCAGTGATTTGGAATAATGTTCTCTAAAATTGAAAAATAATGGAAATGGGTAGGCAGGAAAGAAGGGGACGTTGCTCTCCCCACTCCTTCTTAATTTAAAGCACATTATGATGTTCAGATGCTAGTTGCAATCTATTTTAAAATTTAAGGTGTTATATGAATAAGCAAAATGACCCCTTATCCATCATTGGTGTATACCAGTGACATTATTTCACAGAAATTTCAAGTTGTTAATTACATTGTTAGAAAAATCCTCTGTAGTCTAAGTGTGTGTGTGAATTACAGAGCAAGGTGGAAGATGCCGTGGCCTGGCTCACCCTGCAAGAGGAAAAGCTACAGCAGGTGCAAAAGGACACAGCAAATGAGACCTACTATAATAAGTATCAGGTAAGTACAAGGTCGGACACCTGCTCGTTGTTTATTTTTTTAGACAAGACTAGTAAATACATTTTTGGAAAATCTTCTGGAGTTAAACATCGAAACATTAAGTCAACCCTAAGTGTCCGGGCTGAATTCTAGGGTAGTGCCTCCTGAAACCTTCACGCACATCCGAGTCCCAGGTAATGTTGTTACAGTGCGTATTTGGACCTGGTCATTCTGGAGCGGGGCCCGAGACTGCATTTGAACAGAGCTGTAGGCGAGGTCAGTTCTCTGCTCTTTGCAGTCCTCTGAGGAGCGAGGCTCCACAGCGAGCACTGGAACCCCAGTGCCTGCTTTTGGAAATGAAGGGATCCTGGTCTGGAGCCGTGTGCAGCCTAAGTTGAGTAGCTGTGAGACAGACTGTGCAGCCCACACAGCCCGGAGTATTTACTCAGTCCCTCTCATGAGCCCTTGCTGTGTAGTGGAACACATACAAACATGTAGCAAGAAAGGGAAAATCCAGAAGTCAGCTGTGCACAGCCCAGAATCCCAGGACTGGGCCTCAACCGAGACTTCTTTCAGGAAATAATGACCATGATTATTATCACTACACGTGAAACTTCTGCCACATACCAGGCCCTTGCTGATAAGCGTTTTCTGGGTGAATACATCTTGCTGAGTTTGGTATTACCGTTTTGGTATTATTGGTGGAGACAGCAAGTTTACTGAAGGCTCCGAGGGGAAATGGGGATAGGGGTCTGGCTTTCTTCACATTCTTTTGCTTTTCTGGGGTAAGTGATTGTTCATTGTAAAATCTCAAACCAGCCAAACCAAAGGTTTCTCAGTTCTGTGTCTTGGAGCTTATGGTCTACGCATGTCTGTACCTTGCGACCTCCTCTGTCCTGAATGAGCTGGACATACTGTCAGGCTCCCCTTTAACATTTCTGTTCTGTTTTTCTATTTTTGTTTTTTTTTATACTGGGTTATGAACTAAGGGCCTCACAGAGAGGCCAGACAAGCGCTCCACTACTGAGCTACAGCGCCAGCTCTTTTATTTTATTTTGACATAGAATCTTGCTAAGTTGCCTGGGCTGAGCTCGACCTTGTCATCCTCCTGCTTCAGCCTCCTGGCTAACTGGGATTACAGGCTGTCTGTTAAGTGAGGGAGTTGGAGGAGTTCAGCCTTTCCCCTCCAAATTCAGTGCATTGTGTGACTTGTGGGCCAGACCTTCTTAGTTTGCATTTTTGTTGTTGCTTTTGAAGACAGGGTCTCATTTTGCTACCTAGCCTGTCTCAAGCTCCTCAGCTCAAATAAATGATCCTCCTGTCGCAGCCTTCCTAATAACTGGGATGCTAAGGGTGTCCCACTGTGCCCCACTGGCACAAAATTGAATTAGAACTGCTGTCAGTAGTTATATTTTAAGTAACATTTTTGGAACTGATGACTCCTTAAACACTAATATTTCATAGAAATACGAACCAGAAAGAACGCTATTAAAATTTGGAGGCCAGGAAGTAAGTGGCTTTTAGTCAGCGTGAAATGAATTGGGAAGGACTGGCTCAAGCTTGATTAATCATAAGCACTTTGAAATCACTACACAGAGCTGCTGTGATACACGTCTCACATCTGCTCATTTTGTCGTGAACACACACTGGGCGGGGGACAGACCCACCCAGGTTTTGCATGCAGCACCATGATTTATTCTTTAGAGCCGGGTGACTCTACTGCTCTGTTCCAATAAACATCCACAGAACTGACAAAGATCACAAGCCAAGAATAGTGTCATTATGCTGCACCCAAACTTATCAGGGTGCACAGATCAGAGAGAAAATGCTGGCTTCAGAGACTGTACCTTGATCTAAGTCAATACTTACAGCCTTGAGCTATAGACTTGCAAACAACGGGTTACATTTTGAAAATGAAGTGAGTGCTTCAGGCTTTAAAATACTCTTCTAATTGTAGAGACTGCTGTCCTTTGTGGAATCATTGAATGAAGAAAAAAAATCCTTCCTGGACCTCCTGTCCCTGAAAGGGAATGCCCAGGAGCTGAGTGAAGATCAGAGACTGCTGACAGAAGGCTGGAATGGTCTCCACTGCCAGGTGACTGCCTTGCATGAAATAAGCAGCTTTCTCAGAGGGCAGCTTGGTGTGTGGCTGAAGACTGTGTAGACTTCTGGGAGGAAGTCTGTGAAAGACAGGCCGGGTGCTCGGGCAGGAAATGGGATGATGTCCTTACATTTATCTGCGTTATCATTTGGATAGTAATTAGGTTTACACTTTTTCTTTTTTCACTGTATTGGGGATTGAACCCCAGGTCTTCACACTGAACCACATTTTCAAGTCTTTTTAAATTTAATTTTAGTTTTTAAAATTTTGAGACAAGGTCTGGCCAAGTTGCTAAGTTTCCCAGGCTGGTCTCAAACTTTGTGATTGTCCTGGTTCAGCCTTCCTAGAGTGCTGGGATTATGATGTGTGCGATCATACCCAGCTGTCTCTTTAACTTTTTTGACTCTGGTTTTTCATATCACATTTGTGCATTTGCTCTAGGGATTACAATATGCATGCTAAACTTTTAAGTCTCTGTAGAGTTGTACAGTTTCTTACTTACTATAGAACTTCTTTTAACATATAAAGACCTTACAGCTGAATGGACTTACTTATCTCCAATTCTTTATGCTCTAGTTGTTTTATATATAAATCTATATTACACATATTGTTATGTATATATGGCACTAACACATGTCTGAAGGTTCCCGAAACATGGCACAAGTCTTCTTTACTCTAATCAACCGTCTATTTTAAGGTACCTCAGTAGTACAGTTGATAGCACATCGTCTCATGCACAGCTTACATTTCAAAGAACAGAAAAGAAGAAATGAGTTTTTCGTATTTCTCTAGACATTTACCATTTCTTATTTTTCTGGAGATCTTAATTTCCATTGAACTGCTTCCCTCTGTCTAAAGACTTAGCCTCGTAAACTGTGACAACTTCGCTTAGTTTTCTTTGATCTCTAAATGTGTTTTGCCTTCATTTTTAAAAACCGACTTTATTGATGTATAACTGACCTAGCATAGTAAGTGGATAATGAAAAAAATTTTGGTGTGAATTTATAGAATTCATTAGAGGTGAATTCATTTCAGAGTTCATTCATTTTCAAGAACTGACAGACTGTATGGCCCAGGAAGCCAGAACCCCTCCCACTGATTCTGCATAGAAGCCCAGCTGTCAGGGTGCCTTTGTATTTAGATTTCGCCGCCAGTATCATTCCTGAGTGTATGTGACTCATCCTCCAGGAGCTTAGTAGGACCATCTTGGTAGCTGACTGGCTCCTGGAGTCCGCACATCCGCCATGGCGGCTGCAGTGTCTGTTAGCCCTGCTGATCACTGCCTAGCACCTGACTCAGTCAGGGACAGAAGCTGTCTGAGTCCTTCATGCTGCCCCAGGCCATTTGGAAAAATTATACTAAATAATGAGAAAAACCACAAAAAGAATTTCTTCGCACAGTTAAGTGCTGCAAGTCAGTAATATCTTGGAAACCTGCTCTTTTGTCAGGCAGATGGTAGTTCATTTTCTTTTAGGGGCAAAATGAGAACTGCTGAGTTTGAAGTCATCGGGTGCATAAGCATTAATACTAAGGTAGCTTCAGGCTCAGAAGTTTGAGGACACAGATATCTTAAACCATTGAATGCATCCTAGTAAGTGGTTTCATTTTAAGATTACTATAGAAAAGAGCAACATTATCTGGTTTTGATCAGGTAAGAGCATAAATTTTCAGCCAAATTCAAAACTATTTGGCTGAGAATGGAGGTGTGGAGCCTGCTTTCTGTTTTAAAGGAGAGGAACAAAAGGTGTTTGCGCTGTATTTTGAGTGTGACATTGAGTCAGAAACACAGGTTTGGCTTTATTCAAAATGAATGCTTCATGCGACTTTCTTTGAGTTGTGTATAGAATTATCATTGAATTAAGAGTTTTTGTTCTGAGTTTCTCTTTAACCCAAGAGCTTAGCAATTTTATGATCTATTATGATTTTTTTTTTTGGACAAATACACAAATATATATAACAAAAGCACCCGGTCAAGGCTGGACATGCAGCTCAGTGGTAAGCTGCCTGTCTGGTGTGGGCGAGGCCCTGCCTTCCAGTCTGGCATCACAGAAGAGAGGCAGGAAGAAGAGCTCAGGCCAACTTGCTTCTATTAAAAATCTGCAGTGGAGAAAATACTATTGCTAGAGTCTCAGTGGCACATAGTTGGTGACTTACAATTGTAAGAGTGTTGTTACAGTATGCCTTTGAAAAAGAGAATAAATTTACAAGGCAAAAAAATAATAAAAGACAGCATTATATAGAAACTATATACTTCATGTATCTACTATGTGAATACTTACATTTGACTTTTTGATTGGAGCGTGGTTTTGTTTCTTCATTTTATTTTTGAGGTAGTGGGCATTGAGCCTAGAGCCTTGTACCTGCCAGGCAAGAGCTGTGCTGCGAGCTGCTCCTCCGACTCCTGTCCTCATTCTGTGTACCTGAATGAGTAGCTGGGGAAATTCTGTTTAGGTACTCGATTTGCATGTAGTGGGTATCCAATACATGTTTTTATGAATGAGTGGTCAATCAACCCGTGTAATACACAGAGTTCGCCTACTCTTTCCTTTAGTTAAAAACAGTTTAACTCTGAGAATGGTAATGTTCATTCAGCAGATCTCCATTACAGAAAAAAAAAGCAGGCTTCAGACCTATACGTTCATCAGAGCAGGGTGCTGGAGTAAAACACATTTTGATTTGTGCTTGAAGTTCTTTGGGTTAGGTTAGGAGAATCACAAAGGCAAAATTGAGTTCAGTGGCTAGGAAGTCCTATTCTTAGTGCATTAGGACTGTGGTCAGGAAGGGAGGGGCCTTGGAGGTGGACTTTTATTGTGCTTAAGAGTTGTAGTCATCAGTCCCCCCCTTTCTACCCGCAGCACCTGATAGCCCTGTGGCTCCCTCACCTCACTTGCTGAAGCTTCCTGTACCCCTGTACTCTCTGCAGCACCCCAGGGGCCTCAGCCAAGCACTTAGGCCTTCATTTCTCTGACTGCCTTTGACCAAGGGAGTCAGGTTAAACTATATCCTTTCCTCCAGCCATGGTGCATAGGCCTGGACAAAGTCCTGCTCTTGTTTTGATTCCTTTGTTTTATGGTGTGCTTTTTATTTATGTTCATGCTTTCTGTTCCCTCCCATTCCTCTTTAGGCAGTCATGCCCAAGAATTTAATGTGTACCCTTTAGTTTACATGTTTTTGCAAAATACATGTTGAGTTTACACATTTGTCTATGTAAGTTGTGTAAATTGAGTTCCATGTTGTTTCTTTTATTTCCGAATGTGGTTTATGTAGTTAAGGGACCCCTCAGTCCCCAACAGTGTGTTTACCCTAGGGAGTGTGCAGGCTTATCACCTGTCCCTGCACACTCCCTAGGACAGCTTTATTCCTCAGTCATTGACAGTAGTCTTGTAAAGTTTCCTTGTGAATCAACGAATGATCGTCTGGGTTCTGTGGGTGTTCAGAAGGCAGGGAAATCCAGATAGAAGGGTAGCAACCATTCAGGCGAAGACTAAGAGCCAGTGCTTGTTTAGAGAAAGGAGCCGTCAGGATTGTGCGGCTGGACTGGCGTGCACCCAGGGTGAGGCAGGAAGGAAGAGGCGTGCCTGGACTGGGGTGCTGGGGAAGGGCAGATTTTAGGAGATAAGGGGGAGGGATCTGGTGTGAACACGTGTTTAGGGCTAGTAAGGAAAATAATCTCTGCAGGTGTGTGGAAATTGAAGTTACGAGGTCAAAGAATACAAGGACATAAAGATTTCCAATGACAGTCCTTGATTATGATTTCCCTGCCTAAAGTAATGCTTTAAATGTTTCCAGTTTCTCCTATATAACTTATTTATGGTTTGCTCTAAAACCATTTTTTTTTTCCCAGTGCCTTCTTTTCTTTCAGCTTCTGAACAGATTACATTCCTAATCGGCAAGCACCTAAATAATGTTTAGAGCTAAAAGATTTATCTGTTGATAAAGATTTCCTTGGCTAATAGATCCTATGTATCAGTCTTGGCTTCCAGAGAAACTTTAAAAATGAATCCTACCAGGGCTGGAGATTTAGCTCAGCGGCATAAGCGCCTGCCTTGCAAGCAGACAGTTGGGAGTTCAATCCCCGGTACCGATAAAAAGGAAAAAGACAAAAAAAAAAAAAAAAATAGAATAAAAAAATAAAAAAGTGAATCCTACCATATGTGGAGAAGGAAGCTAGGAAAGTTCTGCTGAAGGACCTCTGCTCTTGTTTTTAGATTAACGCCTGGAAAACCAAGCTGGAGGACGCCTTGCCCCCACCCCTGCGTGACACCCAAGCCTGCCTGCGGGAGGTGGAGGAGCTGGCAGAGGAAGCCTTGTCAGCCTCCCAGGATTCCTCTGACCCCGTGGCTCTGACCCAGGAAAAAATGACTGTGTTTAAGGTTGGTGGAAAGCCAGTATTGTGTTAGGGTCTGTGCTTGAGAGTGTTTTGTCCTAGAAAGAACAGAGGTAAATACAGTGGTAACTGAGCACGGTGTGGAATGCTTTCTGTAGTAACTTGGCGCTCTGGAAGATATTTTCATGTTCATGACCATTGTGCTTGTTCAAAGGCAAAGCAGTAAGTATAGAGTCCAGTAATTTCTAAAGCAACTGGAAAGTCTGGCCAAGAAAAGGCAGGGATGGTGGGAGACTGGGTTTTCCCTAAAATGGTATGAAAGAATTTGATAAATGAGATTGGTAGCATTTGAGTTCCCAAAGGAATAGAAACTACACCAGATTAAAAAAATTTTTGTTAATGGTTTTGCTGAAGAAACTGCAGTCTGCTTAAACGATATTTATCCATAAAATCTTAGTTAAAAATAAAGGGGATTTAGGACTTTTTGGGGGAAAAAAAACCCATAATGTGAATGAGATAAAAAAAACTCGATGATAGTGTTTGGCAATAAATCTGGTTTATGTCGTACCATGTTTCTTTTCAGAATCTGATGGACAGATTTGACTATCATTCGAACATTCTCCTGACCTTTGAAAATAAAGACGAGAAAGATTTGCCGCTGGTACCGCCTGACAAATTGGAGGAAATGAGAAGACGGTTAGGAACGCTATGATTTCACAACTGCTGCTCCTCTTTCTATTTAAGCAGTAGTATGACCCTGCAGGAATGATTTCTGATAAGTCTTCTCTTTTAAATCTTGATAACTTCATGTTTAAATAGTATTATATTGTGCTAGCTTTTTTTATTGAATGGTAGAATGCTATGATGTGAGCTTTGTTCTTTTGAGCTTGCTTTCTCATTTGTGAATAAACATAACTAACCAGGCTGTCCACGTCTCACAAGGGTATTGGACCAAACGGGTCTATCTGATAAAAGCACTTTATAAACAGTAGAATGCTATTAACATCGAAGTGATTTAATTGGTGGTTGTCGACACCTCTTTTCATAGGCAACTTATTAGAATAAGAGGAGTTAGCCATAACAGTGAAAACTGTTTTAATACATAAACTTTTAAATTGTAGTTCCACTGAATTGTATAGAAGTTTTCAAGCTTAGCAAGCTGTGTTGTCTGTTAACAACCTTAGAAATGGTTGTTTTCTAACTTGCTATGTTTGTTTTACATTGTTTTAAAATAAGGAGGGAAAAGCTCTATCAAATTAAATTCTAAAACCTGAACTGTTTTTTAGACTCAACAACATTTTGGAGAAAAAATTTATTCTACTTCTAGAATTTCATTACCATAAGCGTTCAGTTCTTGGTTTGCTAGATGAAGTGAAATCCAAATTGGATGTCTGGAACATCAAATATGGGAACAGAGAATCTGTGGAATTATTGCTGGAAGACTGGCATGTAAGCTGTTGTATTCTGTCTTAGGTGACTGTTTTCCATGTCTGGCTGCTGGGTTTGCATTTTTCCTTGGCGCAGTTTCTCATCAGCTCTTCGGATTGGGGTGGGTTTGGTTGGTAGCTCTTAGTAGCTTCAATATTTCCTGGAAAAGGCAGTTACAGGTAGGCAAAAAGCAGGCATGGGAAAGGGTAAGGAAAGGGAGTTGTTTATTAAACCAGGGTAATTAATATGACGGAAAATATTTCAATATGTTTTCCTGTTATAAATTCCTCTTTTACTTGAAATTTTATGTTTCCAATGTTTTTTCTAATTTATGGTTTCATTTAATAATCAAGTTTTGGGGAACATTTTGATCTTAACCTCTCACATTTTAATGTAGGGAAAAACAGTACATTTTCAGTTTTGTCTTGAGATACTTTTTTTTTGGCTTTACCTCTTCCAATTTATAAGAAAAAATGTTTCAAGTGATTTAAAAATAGATGTGTTTTCAGGCTTAAGTTAAAACTGAAGCATCAGAAGTGTCATGTCTGCAGCTAGGCCTGATTCTTCTTTCAGTTTCTCTGGTTTTGGAAATAAGAGGGAAAAAAGGAAAAATTCAGGCTTGTAAATTTCAATGCAAAATTGAAAAACATTACAAAGATGAATTTATAGTTTAAGCATTGTATGTTCCAGAGCAAGAAGCCTCATTCTAAACTAGACTTGAAATACTTCTATTTCTACTTCTTTGAATTTTCATTTTTCTACTTGATTGCAACAGTTCATTAACAAGAAGTAAGTGTATAGCAAATACATGTTTTAAATTAGTTCAATATTTTTCCATAACAGAATTTAGTTAATGATAGTTCCCGGCTGCTTGAGTGGCTTGTATTTTTAGAATAATATGGCTGACAAAATTGAATATTAATAACACATCTGGAAGAAGAAGAACTGATAAAGTTATGCATGTTAACACAACATGTGGACTAGGAGATTTTTAAACCGTTATAGTTAGCTCAGTGTTTCCCGCAAGAGGAAAACCACAGTAGAACTTGTACCTCCCCACATTACCTCCTGTCATTTGTCATCCTTAGGTGGTGACTACTGATGGGTACATCTCCTCAATCTTAACTTTCCTTCTTTAGGAACCCCCTTTCTCTTTTCCTTCTCAAATGTATATTATTAAAGTACTAAAAAAATGTTGACTGCCGCGCACTTCATCAGTAACTAGCATCTTGGCCTATGTTTAAATGTAAAAAATCAATATTTTTCTTTTTCCTTGCAGAAATTTATTGAAGAAAAAGAGTTCCTGACTCAACTTGAAGCTTCTTTTCAAAGATGTGGAGAAATTTATAAGAATTTGGGTAAACTAATTCAGTTACTTTTTTGATGGAATGACAATCACTTAAAAATAGGTTTCATCTTTCTGCTTTAAAGTTTTGGAAATCTTTATGCATATTTCCCTTGGAAAATTCTTGCTTGCTGGCTGACTGATGGATTGATTGACTGCAGTACTAAGGACTGAACTCAGGGCCTTTGAGCCTTTTCCTGGGCTGAGCTTGACCTTGCCAGCCTGCCTCAGCCTCCCAGAATGCTGTGATTACAGGGGTGCATCTGGCTATGCTTTCATTTTTGATACTGTCAGAAAACATGCTTAGTTTACTGCTTTCCATTAATATGCAAATGATTTTTAACAGTATTAAGAAAAAGCTGTTTGCTAAGATTACTTTCTTGTTTTACTAATACTGTAGCTGGTGAATATGAAACTATTAATGAACAATACATGATTATGGAACAGAATGTTTGTATGTACAGAAAAAATATAGAGAATGTGAAATCAGCTTTGCAAAAAGTCCTGGCATGTTGGGCTACTTACTTGGAAAACCTTCGTTCATTAAAGGCTTACTTTGAGGACACAAAGAAGGAACAAGTTACAGAGGTATTTGCAGTCTGATGACACCGTTTCACTTTGACTTTTTTATTTGTTTTGTTTGGGAACTCTTATTTTCTTTCTAAAGATGAGACTCCAGAAAAAGGCAAGCACATCTTTTGGAAAATTCTCTCAGGTCTTGGAAGAGTTTAGCTTCTTCTTAATATAATTGCTGGAAAGACTTTTTTTCTACATTACAGGCTTTACACACAGAGGGTTTAGTTGATGTATACAGTAGAGCTTTGGAAAATAGACTGTATTGCTAAGCTTCTACAAGAGGCAATAAGAGCCTCGAGGTACTAGACAGCTCATGGGCACATTTAAAATAAATTCTGAGTTATATTTTTCAATTTGGGTGACAGGGTTCACCTTAAAGCCTGTTTAAGTTTCTAAAGGAGAAAAATTTAAGTATTTTTCTGATGTCAAGAGGTCTATGAGAAAGGTCAATCAGTATGTTATTATTTCCATTTTCCAATCATATAATAATCTATTTTATGATTATCTGTCTTAGTTGCTTTTATTGTTGCTGAAATAAAATACCCAGCACCCAAGATTAAAGGGGGGAAAGATTTATTTGGCTCAGAGAGATTGTTGTACATAACTAACTGGATCCAAGGCAAGGTGGCACATTGCAGGCAGGCAACAGTTTATGATGGCAGAAGACGAGAGAGAGAGGGAGAGGGAGAGGGAGAGAGAGAGAGAGAGAGAGAGAGAGAGAGAGAGAGAGAGAGAGAAAGAGAAAGAGAGAGCGAGCTAGCTCTTTTTGTCCTTAATGTTGTATCCAGTCTTTCAGGATTAGGGTGTGCTGATCGAATCAGCGGACTGATCCAGCAATCACCAACCCTTAATCTCAGCATTACACTACCAATCAATCACACTCTAGATTCAGCTGCCTCTGAAAAGCCCATTCCCCACCCCATGACTGCATGAGGCTCAGAGGGACATCCAGACAGAAACCATACCACTATCTGAGATAGTTTTTCCTTCTTTAATTTGTTCTTCTGTATTTCAGATGGATATAGATGGCCTTTCAGATTAGACATTTTCTAGATGGCAACTAAAATTGCTTAATGGAAAATTAAGTTATTTGTATGAAAGTAAAATTAGGATTAAGTGTATAAATGCAAAAAAAAAAAGAACATTTTAAGTGTTAGCATATGAGCACTTCTCCTATATGAGTACTAGAAATTCAGATCTCTGGCTTCAGATGGTTCTTCTGTCTTTAAAGGCCCTCTAGCACCATCTACATAACTCTGAGGGAAGCAACATTCTCACACTTGCATTTTGCAAATTCTGCCAAGAGGTGCTGGATTGCTAAAGAGTTTGCAGGATACTTTAAGTTTTGAGGGTGACATGGCAATCTCTATCTCTTGGATACTATACTACTCAGTTGTTGGAGTTGATGACTTAAAAATGGGAACTATTATATAATTGTTTGGCCTAGAAACTGTATGAAAAGTTACTGAGGCACTGAGGGCTCCACTAATTGGAAAGGTCTGAGAGCTGGGGATCCAGCTCAGCAGCACAGTGCCTGCCTAGCAAGCACGAGGTTGACTCCCAGTGAGGGAGGAAAAAGTCTGAGAATCTATTCTGTAAGCTCATCAACCACTCTGAAAGATAAGAGGGAATAAGGGTCCAGAACCAGGGGTAAGAACAGGTGCTGAGCACCTGCCAGAGTGCAGGTAGAGAGAGCTTGTCTGTAGGCTGGCACAGTTCTTTATAAGGGGAGAGTCTAAGTCTCTGTGAGGACCATCACACTTAGTTTGGCTTAAAATTAGCCTTAGTTGGGCTGGGGATTTAGCTCAGCGGCATAAGCACCTGCCTTGCAAGCAGGCGATTGTGAGTTCGATCCTCGGTACCAATAAAAAAAAAAATTAGCCTTGGTGGAGGTTATTATAGATAATAGAAAAATGTTATAGTCCTAAGTATTTATGCTGCTTATGTGTTACGTAGGTCCCCTTTGAGATGCTCTCCCAGTGGAACGCAGACCACACCACTTTAAATGAAGTGGGGCATTTGCTAATTGAAGTCAGCAATGATGAGGTGGGATCATCTATTTCTAAAGAACTGAGAAGACTGAATAAAAGATGGAGAAAGTTTATCACAAAAACCCCACTCGTAAGTCGTTTCCAGTTGTCCCTGCCTGTTTTCCTCCTCTGTCTTCCTCTCTTTCAGTGGCTTTGAGGTGTCACCCACATGCCATGCAGTTCGCTGGTTTGGAGCGTGTGGCCCAGTGGTGTCGAGCGAATTCATGGCTGTGCGGCTCCCACCGTCACCCCCAGAGCATTCGTCATGTCTTGGAGAAGCCCCATTTCCTTCCATGCCTCGCAGCCTTAGGCAGCTGCTAAACTGCGTCCTCTCTCTATACATGTGCTGCTCTGGATATTTCACAAGAAGGGAATCATGTAATAAGTGTCTCCCGTAACTGGCTTATTTTTGGTTGGCATAATGTTTTCAAGGTTTATCAACCTTGTAGCATGTAGTTGTGTATATTTCATTTCTTTTTGTAAAAGAGAAATGGTCTGTGGTATGGATACACCACTTTTTAAATCCATTCATTGGTTGATATACATTTGTGCTCTTTTTCTGAGCTGTCCTCAGCCGTGTGCTTACTGGAACACTAGCCAATAACTGTCTCTGCAATTTGTCTTTTGATTTCTCTTGGGTGTATATCTAAGACCACTTTTAATCCTTGGACTCTTTCTTTTTTAAAGACGGGCACATGAAAACTTTAATTCAAGAAAACAAACATATAAAGAAGTTTTTACAGGGATTTAGCTCAGCGGCATAAGCGCCTGCCTTGTAAGCAGGCAGTCGTGAGTTCGATCCCCGGTACCGATAAAAAGGAAAAAGACCAAAAAAAAAAAAAAAAAAAAGAAGTTTTTCCCACAAGTAGCTAACACAAACTTCACCACAAAATAGGAAAAAAGTAGATGACCAAGCACACTTTCTCTAAGCTCAGATAAAGGCAGCAATAGGGTTTTCAAATAGTTCTTGGACCCTTTCTATGTACAACTTTTTAGTTTTGAAATTCATTTATCATTAAAGAGTAGACTAAGCATAATTTTTCCTGTTAGATTTCAAACAACTTGAAAATATACACCAATTTACTTATCTTTATATTTCACACAGTGCCTCACAAATCAGCCTTATAGTAAATATTTTTAATTTATTCTTTTCCTTTTTATTTTCCTTTTTGTTAACAATTTGAGACTTGGGTATTTTCTGAGACATTTCCCATTTTAGAACATTGTCTTTGACTGATAAAAAACTCTGATAAAAAATGTTTGAATATGTTATGCCTACTTACTGTTTATTGTATATTAGCATACAAACTGAAATATGAGCATTAAATTTCATGAAGTTAAATTTGTATAGGAAATGAAACTACCACTTACAAAAAAAAGGGATGAGCCCATTCCTGAAGATTCTGGAACTAGTCTACCATTTAAACAAGAAAAACTGCCTGTTGATTTTTCAATGGATACCGCAGTAGAAGCTCCTGAAAATCACAATCAGAATGTAAAGGTAAAGTGTGTACACTTTGTAGGAATTTACCGTGACTGTTCTGCTTTTTAAAACACTGTATTGTTGCAATAGTGGCAAGTGTATGGGAGTATCAGATGACAGTTCCAGTATGAACATTTCAGGAGATCCTGAGCCGGCTGCCTTCCCGGGCACCACCAGCCGCCTCTGCGGGTCCATGTGGAGTCCCACGGCCTGCAGAAGTGGGCCTGGCTTCTGCCTGGTGTCAATCGAGTGGGTATTTCCTTCAGACAACTCTGACTGGATCTCACAAATGGGCCAGCTTTACATTAGCTCCCGAACTCTGTGTCTGGCTTCCTTTTTATGAAATGGGGCCAAATATTACTGATCATCTTTGTTTTTATTGGGCAATTTGGAAGACTATAGGTATGAACATGAAGCAGGAACAAAAATCCGTACACATGTAAAGTGGTTCTCTCTGGTTCTGAAATGTGCCTCCACAGAAGACCAGCATACCCAGTTTTCCTTAAGTAATTTCAGCTGGCTTTGGCTACAGTGTTGCTGCTGCCTCCGATCCTAAGGATGCCTGATTGGGGCCCGGGTTTCGTTTGGGGTACTGTGCTTGCCTAGTGTGCAAGAAGCCCTGGGTTCAATGCTCAGTACAACAGACAAATAACAACAACAAACCAGAAAAGAAATCCAGAAAATCTGGAAAGATCTGAATTTGTGGAATATGCTTTCAAATGCAATATTCTGAGCATTTGTAATGTGATCTGATTAAAACAAAACGAGATTGTATCTATCGTGTAAAGCTGTAGAATACTTCAGAGTACTGAGAGATTATTACTGGGGCAAGATGTAAGTTTTGATTCTGATTCTCTTTTTTGAAGGTAGGTTACAGCAACTGTTACTGATACCTGTATATAGTGTATGTGAGTTTTAGAAATATGAAAAGTCTAATTTTCTAAGTTGTCATCTTATCTGTAAATGGAGATAATACTGTTTAACTGATAGAATTAAAATAAAATAGGTGTGAACAAACCTTTAAGTTTAAAAGGATATATGTTGTTACAAAGTGTTACACTGCAAACAAGGTTGTGTATCATTAAAATGCAGTCATTTTCTGCACAGCAGGGCTTCAGTGGGGAGGGATAGTACACACTATGCAGACAGCATAGCGTGCAGGCAGCCTAGGGGTGTAGGGGCGATGCAGTCCAGGTTTGTGAACATTTGCTGCGTGATGGTCCCACAGCAACAAAAATGGCTAATCAGTGCTTTTCTCAGCGGGTATGCTTGTTAAGTGACGTAAGACTGTGGGTTGAATTAATGTTCTTCAGTAGAACTTTTTAAGATGGAAAATTATTTTATAAGGTAAATGTTGACATCTTCTTAGTGATAATTTTGAACGTTGTAGGCCATGGAAGATTATGAACGAGAAAATGAAGAATCCCCAGAACAACTGAAAGTGTCTGAAGAGGTTGAAAAACTCACTGGACAAGTGGAAATCTGGGAGGCAGAAACCAGATCTGTCTTGGATCTTCTGAGACATCAAGATGCCATGGATAGCTCCTTGGAAGAGGCTTTGCAGGTAAGAATGTCAGAGTACTAAGCAGGCATTTTCAGGTTGTAGACAGGCTCATGTCTTAACATACAGACAAAAACGTTTTAAATAAAAAAACTTTAAAGTGAGTAGCAATATGCTTATAGATTTAATTTTCTTTATTTGGAGTTTTAAAAATGGCATGGTCTCTGATGCCTGATCATCTAGGATTTTGCTTAGCATACCTTATGAGTGGACATTCTTAGACAGATTTTCCCAGCTGTAGAATGGCATCCGAGCATGGTGATGACGTCATTGAGTCCAGTCTCAAGGAGCTCAGTGCAGTAGGAATGTAAGATTACACAGTCTGTGCTTTGAATATTCTCCCATGAAACAGGCCACTTCCCTTCCCTACTTGATATAGGGAAGCAAACCAGTGTTCTTAGAACTCAGTCTGTGTGTGTTTTTGTTGGTAAGCAGTGAGGCTGAGTGTATTTCTGTATTACTTAGTTCTCCTGGGAAGGAAATTATAATTGAGGTTTTTCCTGAATCCCAGCTCAGCTATAAAATCTATAGAGCATAAGTTAGGCTAAAATGGGAAGCTCCTGAAACACTGGAACATTTACATGATTTTTGTAAATCTTTTTCTGAAAGGCATATATTTTATCATTTTGTGTTTTTATTGTTTGTAACAGTATAGCTTTTCTTTCTTTCTTTTTTTTTTTTTTTTTTTATCTTTTTCCTTTTTACCTGTACCAGGGATCGAACTCACGACTGCCTGCTTGCAAGGCTGGCGCTTATGCCGCTGAGCTAAATCCCCAGCCCCAATAGCTTTTATTTCTTTGAAATATGTATTTGTGAACATAAAAATAACTTGTCATTTCACTGGCAATGTTTTGCTAATTCCAGTTTTTGTTCTTATTTAGTCTATCTGGAATTTATTTTAGGGGAAAAGAAGAGGTAGCAATTCAACAGATTTTTAAGTATTTTAAAACTTAAAATTAAAGATATTTTCAAAACAATAACAACAAAAACCACTGCTATGCATTTTGTCCCGCACAGATGTTATGCAGGGCGTGACTGTATTTTAATGATGTAGGTCTTAGTTTGGGCTATGATAATAGCACTTTATAACAGCTTAGATCCTGGAGATACAACCATGCCAAAATATACTTCTGTTAATAATGAATTATGTTAAGTAAATTTGTATTGGATCAAAGTATTTGATCAAGTTATATTCTAGAGTGACAAATACAAGTTGCACAATATGAAGAATGTGATTCTATTTGTATTTATAAAACAGTTGTGTGTCTATGTTTTATGTTTTTATATACATAGAAAGTATCTGTAATGATACAAAAATTAGGTCTCTCTGTCTTGATCCTGCATTATGCCTAGCTCCTGGTACAGTTTCTGGCATGCAGTAGATATAAAATAAATATTTTCAGTGAACATGGAGACAACCAATTAAATGACAAAGAAAGAAAAGAAAGAAATGACCTTTTAATTTACAGGCTGTACCTTTGTATTCTTGTTTGCATTTTTTTAAAGCATGAGTTTTTGTTGCTGAAAAATTAAAGTGATAGATGAATGTTTTAATTCAGAAAATTAATATCACTGCTGTTGCACAACTCTTAAGTAAGATCAATATTTATGTAGTCGATATCTCAAAATAATTTATCGTACTCATGCCATCTTTGAGTTGTAATTAAAAATTTATTTGCTAACTTGACAACTGTTAAGTAGCATCACTTGATTATTTTGTTGCTCTTAATTTACATGAAAGATTGAATTACCTTTCATAGCATTAGTTATATGATTCCATGAATTACCTGTTACTGTATTGTCAGAGTTTTCTTTGGCTTCTTAAGATTTTGTTGAATTACATGTGCTCTTTGAATTGTGATCCACTTTTATTTTGGTTACAAATATCTTTTATGTTGTTGACTTTAAAGTGGTTTGTTTTGCAAGGGGAGGTTTCTCTGTTGATGTAATCATGCCTTTCTCTACTGTTTTTTTAAGGTCCTGGGGATTGGACCCAGAGCCTTCACACTGAGCTATGTCCCCGTCCCTGTTTATATTACTCATCTTGAGTCAGGGCCTGGCTGAGTTGTCTGGATTGGGCTTCAAATTGTGACCCTCTGGCATCCTAGGTGTGTGCCACCACAGCCAGCTCTTTCTCTGCTTTTCTACCTAGAAAGGCTCTCCAGTCCACACAGATTGGTCTTCACGGAGAATTAGTCTCTCCCGTGGCTTCCTACTTCAGCAATAACTTTCTGATTTATGGGGAATTTGCGATATGATGCATAAGGCGGTTTTCTTTTTTTATATAAGATCATTTATTCAGTGGGTTTTTTTTAAAGAGCACAATATATTTATTGGAGAAAGAAAGCTTCCATCAGAGAGAGACAGCAGAGTCCTGAGTGAATTGCCAAGGACTCTGCCTTTTTTTTTTTTTAAAGAGACTCCTATAGAGCAAAGCCATGAGGTAAGACAGGTCCAGTTTCTCATTTTCATGGTTTTTGACTGCATATTGTTTCTATAAGTGAAGGGATTCATTTTGGCAGATTTGTACATGCGCATAACATACTGTGATTGTTAGCTCTCCTCCCCTCTCTTTCCACCCTCCTCCTAGTTCCACGTTTTTGGAGGCTATTTCAAAGAGAATAGTGTATTTCTTGTACACCCCCTTGTTACTTTCTCTTATGCTGCTTCCCCCTTCTCCTTTTACTAAAGGAAGAGTCTCCTTTAGACTTTGTTGGCATCTTTTAGATTCCATACATTAGGGGGAAGATGGGATATTTGTCTGAGTCTTGCCTATTTTGCTCAACACAACTTTTTAAATCCATCTATTTTTCTACAAAAGACAAAATTTCGTTCTTTGATGGCTCAGTGCCACTCTGTTGTGCATATATACATTTTCCCTCTACATCTATCTGTCTGCTGATGGGCGTTTAGGAGGTTCCATCTCTTAGCTGTTGTGTATTGTGATGCACTAAGCAGGGGTAGGCAGATGTGCCCATAGTATGCTGGTTTTAATCTTTCTGAGTGTGATACATAGCGGTGAGTAGCACAGCTGGATCAAGTGGTAGCTCTGTTTTTAGTTTTTGGAGGAATTTCCATATCGGTTTTCATGTAGTCTATAAATTTACATTTCTACCAGCAGTGTGGAAGAGTTCCTTGTTCCATGCGTTCTCTGCAGCTTTTATTGTTTTTGTGTTCTGACTAAGTGGAATCTTAATGCAGTTTTGACTTGCATTTCCCTACTAGCTATGGATGTTGGATAATTTTTTATATACACTTATTTGTTGATTTCTTGTTATTTGTTTCACGGTTGAAGTGCTAATCAAGAAGTCTTTGCCTGCACCTGTGTCTTCCAGTATTTCATGTATGTTTTCTTTCAGCAGTTTCAATATTTTAAGATTTATGCTTATATCTTTTGTCCTTTTGAATTGATTTTTATGCAGGATGAGAAATAAGGGATCTAGTTTCTGTCTCCAGTTTTTCCAGCAACTTTTTCAGAGAAGACAGCTTTTTTACTAAATGATGCTGGATGTCTAGTTTTTCCAGCATCATTTGTTTAAAAAAGCTGTCTTTTTCTCCAACATATATATATATATTTTTTTATCAGTACCAGGGATCGAACTCATGACCATGCGCTTGCAAGGCAGGCGCTCATGCCACTGAGCTAAATCCCCAGGCCCTCTCCAACATATTTTTGGCTCCTTTGTAAGAATTTGGTTTTTGTAGTTGTATGGGTTTGTTTCTGTGTCCCCAGTTTGTTCCACTGGTGTATATGTCTACTTTTGTGCCAGTACAACTGTTTTTGTTACTGTGGCTTTGCAATCTATTTTGAAATTGAGTATTGTAATATCTCTAGTCTTGATGTTGTTGCTTAAGAATCCTTCATCTGTTCTGGGTTGTGTTTCCATATGAATTTTAGGATTAGTTTTTCTAGTTCTGTGAAAAATGTCATTAGTATTTTGTGATTGAATCTGTACACCACTTTTGGTCTTTCTATCTTCTAGTGTCTTTAATTTCTTTCAGTGTTCTGAAATTCTCACTGTATAAGTCTTTCACTTCCTTGATTAAATGGATTCCTGACTATATATTTATTTTTTATTTTTAAAGATGTTGTGAATGTAATTGCTTTCCTGATTTCCTTTTCAGCTAGTCTATTATTAGTGTAGAGGAAAGTGATTATTGTTATTATTATTATTATTATTATTATTATACCAGTGATCAAACTCATGATCTCATGCTTGCCAGGCAGACACTTATGCCACTGAGCTAGATTCCTGGCCATTGATTACATTTTTAATGCTGATTTTACATTCAGTTACTTGAGTTTATTTATCAACTCTATGAAGTGTTTTGATGGAACCTTTAGGATTTCCTAAAGTATAGAATCTTATTTCTGCAAACAAGGATAATTTGACTCCTTCCTTTCCTATTTGTATCCCTTTCATTGCTTTCTCTTTCCAAATTCTAGCTAAAATTTTAAGAGCTGTATTCAATAGAAGTGGGGAGACGAGGGGCATCCTTGTTGCATCCTGATTTTGGAGGAAAGGCTTTCAGTGTTTCTCCATTCAGGATGATATTTGCTGTAGATTTGTCTTATATACCTTTGCTGTATTGAGAATGACCCTTTAAGAACTAGTTTCTTTAAGAGTTTTATTATGAAGGGATGTTGAATTTCCTCCGAAGCTTTTCTGCATCAATCGAGATAATCATATGATTTTTTAACCTTGATTCTACTTATGTAGTGGTATAGTACGCTTACGTTGAAACATCCTTGTATCCCAGGAATGAAGTCAGCTTGATCCAGTCATGGTGTGAGACCTTTTCAAAGTGTTGAATTCTGTTTGTGATAATTTTTTTTTTTGAGACAGGATCTCTCTATGTGGTTCAGGTTGGCCTTGAACTCATTCACTGTGTAGCCCATATTAGCCTCAAACTCATAGAAATTCTCCCCCTTCAGTCTCTCAAATGCTGGGATGACAGATGTGCACCACCATGTCTGGTGCAAGAATTTGATTGAAGATTTT